CCCTCTGAGACATACAGTCCTTTAACAAGGCAAAAGAAACAGAAAAGAAAAAAATCAATAGTCAAGTACAAGGAGCTGGCTTTGGTCTGACAACCAAACAAGCAGCATCAGTATTGATCCGAAATATCTTGAAGTATGATGGATTGGAGAGGATATCACTGTCGAAGCAGTGCGCGTGCACGCGCGCACACACACACACACACACACACACACACACAATGATTAAGAAAACTGAAAATGTGACCAAAAACAGAATAATCTACACATACAGTATGTGTGTATATATATATATATGTATGTGTGTATATATATATATATATATATATATACACATATATACATATACATACATACATATATATATATAAACACACATATAGTCTTTTAAAACTGAGCGTTCATGAGAACGGAGGATTGTTGATATCAGTCGGTGAATTCAGTGTTTGAGCTGTGTTTCTCCGAGGTCGCACTGAGAAAGTAACATGTTGCTGAAAACCTTGAAGAAGAATTTTGCCAAAATGTCGCACTTTTGTATTTGCAATTAATCACGGACCAACTGGTTGGCCTTGACATAGCGACTCAGAGGACAAAACATGTGACGAATGACGTTGAAGCTACCCTTGAAAGAAACCTTGGTCTCCAACATCCTCACAAATAACAGCTCAGCCAAGGATTCAGACTTTTTTTTAATCAACATTGTGTTTTATACATACAGACTCACTCTCTCTCTCTCTCTCACACACACACCACACACACACACACACACACACACACACACACACACACACACACACACACACACACACACACACACACACACACAGGAATTTGGTTATTTTCATGTCAAACTCAAAAGCAGTGTCACTTGTTTTTGCAAAACTTTGTGTCTAGTATCAGTTTCAGTATTTTGTTCATTTGCATTTTTAATAAAAACATGGATATCCAGATGGAGTGGAAAACAGAGAGAGAGAGGGAACCTGGTAGATGAAAGCAAAAACAGAAAGATATCACACACTCTCTCCCAACACACACATGCATACACACCCCTAATCTGCTACCCTGAGGAGCCTCCCCTGTTCCAGGAGGGACCCTCCACCTGCTGTGGCAGCTTGGGGCCTCCTGGGGGAAAACTGTTGAGGGGCCCAGGAGAGGTGCGCCTGGTTCCTACATATCACTTTTGTTAAACAGCACATTATTCCTGGGATGCACCCCCCACCCCACCCCACCCCACCCCCAGGACACATCCCAGTCTTGGCTCCAGCCTCAGGCGGAGCCCAGAGCCTCATCTGCTGGGCCCTGCTCCTGCTCCAGACTGTCTACAGCACGTTCACGTCCTTGACGGTTTTTTCCCTCAAGGCCCCCTCCCTGTATGAGCCACCATTCCCAGCCCAAGGCTCAGTGCACTCAGAGAAAAACAAGTGCCGTATCCAAGCCACCTGCGACTTTTCACCTCAGTTCTGATTCTAGTTTTAAACACTAATTTAAAGGAATAGTTCAACATTTTGAGAAATATGCATATTCACTTTCTTCCTGAGAGTTTGATGAGAAGATTGATACTAGTCTCATACTTTGAGTATCCCACTTTTATGCCACTACATTTATCTGACACCTGTAATTATCTTTTACATTTGAAGACTTTACATTAAAAACATATGATAAACTTACATATTACAAAGACAAAACCCCTATGCAACAAAAACAGTGTCTACCTGGGGCCCCTTGTTTCAGGTTTCAGATGTCTATGAGTTGATAGCTACTTCCAGCATGATAACACGCTATGTCACAAAGCAAATGTTGTCTCAGACTCGTCAGTTACCAGATCTGAATCCTGTGGAACAGCTCGCCTGGCTCTGTCTGAAAGTAACAAACCTGCATGCCAACTTCTCTGAAACTCAGTTATTAACACATTTCTTTTGTTTGCTTTGTGTTTGATGAAATGTTGCCATTTGAGGTGGTGTTATGTGCAGAAATATTCCTCAGGCAGGACCTGTACCTTCTTGGAACTGGTTGTCTTTCAACTGGTCCTGGCCAAGAATTTTTATGCCACCTCACACCCGGTAAAACTGTCATTTTACACTTTAGTTCTGTACAGATTAAACAAACAAGATAAAACATGTTATTTTGTGAGCTTTGGAGGTGCTAGTAGCTGTTGTTCTAAGCTAAGCTGAGCTAAGCTAAGCTAACTGGCTGTTGCTACACATTTACCGTTCCGACATGAGAGAGGTATCAGTATTTTCATCTAAATCTTGGCAAGAAAGCTAATAAGCATATTTCCAACTATTCCTTTAGGTCTGCTGTTTCATGGCCAAATAAGCGGCACACACTTGTCTTCCCAGCATCAATCCACAAAGCCTCCATAGCACCTACAACAGCCGTGGTCTTCAGTCCTGCCTGCTGGGAGATCCTGAATTACTAAAAAGGTGAAAGAGCAAAGAACCGAGAAATTAAGCCTCTCAGCAGCAGCACTACCTGGGCTGTATACATCAAAGACTGAGCAGAAACCAGCAGGTTTCTTCCACTGGGGACTCTTTCAGCGCTGCGCTGCCTGACAAATAGGCTGGAAGGTTCAGTGCATTAACCCACATGTTGACACTTGGCTGGGAACATGGAGTGATAGAGGGGCAATAGGGGGCTGCAGGGAATGACATGTGGCTCAGGTCTTTGTGGTGCAATAAACACACATGCATGCACAGGAGAAAACACACAGGCATGTACAGACACACACCAGCCACATAGCTAAGGATGTACTGTTATGTCTGCTTGGTTTATCCGTGATGTACGTTTTGTGGATAATATGATTCTCTCAAATGAACCTGGATCCTCAACTTTCACACAAACGGTGAGAGAGGAGGAAGTGGTCCTCCTGTGTGCTTCAGCTACTCTAACCCACCAGTTAGAGAGCTGCCACAACACAGCTGTACGTGTGTGTGTGTGTGTGTGTGTGTGTGTGAGCTTGGAGAGGAACCCTCATTAGGGTGTTAAGACTAAGGAAGAGCCACAGACACAACACAACCACACAGACAGACAGAGATACAGAAACACACAGTCTCTCACACACACAGGGAAGCGGGTCATGTCGAGGGAAACAGTAACGGCAAAATGAAAACAGAGAAACCTCCACAACACCTGTGTAGACCAGAGAGAGATTAGGAGATTGGGATCAACAGCAGCGCTGATCAGAGGACACGGACTCAAGAAAACACTGAAATCAACACTGAGGTCTGCAAGAAAAAAGGTTTACTCTTAAATCTAAATTTAACTATGCAGTAGCACCTTTTGAACTATGAAACCGCTCTTTGAATGAAAATGAACTGCATTACATTGGTTTGGTTTATTGACAGCCTTCTAATTCTTCTATATCAATAATATATAATGGGCTACATGAGTTTTTGTCAGCGCGAGACAAAAACGTGTTTCCATCATTGTCCCTGGTGTTTTTACGCGTCCACCAACCTTGATGACCAAGATGTCGACAGGATTTTCATTTTCAACCGGAAACTAAGAGCTAACAACTGGAAAATTAAACCATAAAAGCAAATAATTAGTAAAAACTTTCATGGAGTTTATTGACTTGTGGAGTTTTAGATGTAAAATGTGTAAATCCTGAGCAGTTGCAGAGCACACCTCTGTGGCTGAGACCGAAAAAAAGAGGCAGATCCCTTCTCTTCTCCATGAATTGGAGTATGCATGTGTAAGATAGTGACTCACTTTATAAGCTTAATAAGTGTAGACTTTTACGCTCCCATTAGGTCATTAACATTACAGCACGTTCAAATCTTTGGCAGAAAGAAAAAAAGGAAAAAAAAAAAAAAAGCAAAAACCCTCTTTACCCTTTTGCTCCCTCAAGGAAGTAGATGGAAAAAAAGAAAAAGAAGAATGAAAGAAAAATCTCCTTCATCTCTGTAGGCAACCCAAATCCTCACTGTAGCAGCAGCCAAAAACTAAATTAAAAAGACTGGAGAGTTGGGGTGTTTAACAGGCGCAACGCTGCGCTGAGAGGGGATGGAAGTTCTCTCATGCTTAACAATTTGTTCCTCTGTTCTCCGCTGTTTAGAAGGATCAAACCAATTAAAAGCATACTACAACACACACGCACGTGCACACTCACACACACATGCACCATCTCAAATATCAGTGGTACAGCACCAGATTATTATTCTTTGTTTCCCAACTGTTTTGCTCCTAAATGATGATTCTTTCATTCGTTTATCATGGTCACAACAAAGAGTGAATCTTACATGTCTGACAGCAGCAAAAATACTGCTGGATTTTACCTGGAAAAACCCTCATACACGTGTTATCACAGGCGACACGGTGCATAGTGGTTAGCACTGTCGCCTCACAGTGAGAAGGTTCTGGGTTTGAACCCCAGGCCTGGGGCCTTTCTCTGAGTTTGCATGTTCTTCCTGTGCCTGCGTGGGCTCCCTCCCACAGTCCAAAAGACTTGCAGGTCAGGTCAGTTGGTGACTCTAAATTGCCCATAGGTGTGCGTGAGTGGTTGTATGTGTCTATATGTCAGCCCTGTGACGGACTGGCGACCTGTCCAGGGGGTACCCTGCTCTCACCCAATGTCAGCTGGGATGGGCTCCAGCCCCCCCAACGCAACTATAAGGATAAGCGGAATAGCAAAGGGATGGATGTGTTATCTCAAAGACACTGGTTACTTTCATGGTTGGATAATATTTAGGCTGAACCAGCCACGCTGAAATTTGGACCGAAGTGGAGGAAGAAGCGCAATAAAGTTTTATTTTGTAAAGCGTACGAAATGTGTGTGTATATGTACCAGTTTGTCTTGACAGTTAGGAAAGTTGTAACTAATGGCTTATTACTGATTAATAAATAATTTACCAATGCTTTACCAATAGATTGGTTAAAAGCAATTAACAGGAATAAATCTTGTTTGCTAGGCTGTGAAAAACCCCACTGGCTGGTGTTTATCCCTTCTATTCCATCTAATAAATTATACCTGACATATATCTATCAATCATGAATGCCTTTATTAACCATTAATTACAACACATATTAGAAGAAATATTGAGATCTTAACTTAAGTAGCAATACACCACACAACACAAAATACTGCATTGCCCTGCATCAGTCACAAAATAGTGCCAAAAGTGGTCATTAGATGAAAGGATGGCCTGTCATAGTGATAAATATCATCAGATTATTATTACTGATGCATTACTGTGTGAGAAGCATCTTAATGCTTAATGCTGGTGATGAAACTAATTTTAATGTTAAGACACTTTAACCTATACCAATGCACATTTTGTTAGCTCATCCTTAGTTCTGAATGGAAAATGATTGTCAATGTGACTATAATCTGTCAAATAAACGTAGAAGAGCAGAAGTATCCACCGCTGGTTACAACCTATAACGGCTCCATAGAGGGTGCCTTATTAGAAAATGGTAGCAAATTGATTAAGCTAATTTTGGAAAACAGCTTTGCACACACAGCCCTCACTATTTTTGGATCGTCCTGTGGGAGAAAGACTTCAGGAAGGAACCCATTCAGGTTTAGTGGGTCAGAGGTTAAAAGTGCCACTAATGAGCCTCACACAGAAGTTTTATGCTGAATATAGGAACTCGTACTTAACACATCCCAGACTCTGGGTTGTATGTGGGAAACTAAAACACAAATGGGTAACAGTCTCTTTCATTTAATGGGATAATACAACCATAATGAACATGAGAAACCGCACCACTGATGAAGTCATGTACTTCAGTTTCAGTTCAAAAGCTGAGAGCTGCAGCCTCAGAGAGCAGATCACACAGCCAGAGCATTAGCAAAGGCCTGAGAATGGAGGCGCAAACAGCTGTGATTAAACTGAGGGATGATGATCCTCCGCAGTGACACAACCTCATTTGGTCTCCTGGTGGCCTGCATACCTTGGCTTCCAGCAGGCAAAATACCCCCCAGGGATCCTAAAATACACGGTGGGCCAAGCCTCAGCCCAGCCAGGCGGGGCAGGGAGAGGGGAGAGAGGAAGGGCCAGGGGCAGAGCTGCAAGCCTGGGCAAGCCAGTCAGCTCCACAGGCCTCAGACGACAGTCACACTGACAACACGGGAGGAATGCGAGAAGCTTCTTCATTGCGTTAGTTTGCATGAAAAATACAGTGTTAAATCACTGATAAAATAATGTTATCAGGCTAAATTAAGGAAGAACAAAAGCTGACAAATGCACAGATTACCCAGAGTCACATATGGTCGTCATGTGCTTTTTTTGTGGCCAGCTGCCTTTATTTAGCCATACTTCAATCCTCAGATCACTTCTAAATGAGTAGCGGGGTTAATTTAGGATTCATGGCTTGATCAGGCCATCAGGGTCATGGAGGTCATTACGTGCTCATATTGTAAGATCATGACTGACACACACTGGCCACATGAAGTCACTGCATCATTAGGTATTTCTGCACAGAGGGCGCAATTTGGTATTTGAGTTTATGGATAAAGGTCTCAAACAGCTCCCACAACACACATACAGTACTCACAATTATTACTCAATCGAACACAATTAAAGGAGATGAATAATTTTACTTTGTTGTGATCCTGTACACACACACAACTGCAGCTCTAAATGATATATGAATGTTTATAAGGGGTTGGAACACGGGGTTACAGTATGTAATGAGAACAAAGTCTTACTTTATCAACATCAGCGGCCTCCGCAGTCATTACCAACATCAACAGATATCGTCACCTGATGTACATTTATGGAGTCAGCCTCCGAAACACGCAGACTCTCAAACAAAGAACAGGACTGAGGATAATGGAAATATGCAGAGCAATGAAATAAATTAAATCTAACAGCTCAAAGATCTCAACCTCTCGACAAAGACTGTTTCCAAAACTTTTACCAGCAGATGAAAAATGAAAAAACTGTTGCTTGAAATCTGTTTTGTAATTTGCATTATTTCATTTTAGGGAAATAACTGGGAACACTTCACTTTCACCCCAATCATTTAGTGTTATGCATTATATAAACATTTCTTAAATGGTTTATAACACAATATAATGTAGTTGTAAAGAGATGTAGAATTTTATGAATGTATTTCTCAACAACTGTAAGTCCTCCCGTACGTTGAGGCTGATAAATAAGTAGATAATAATTGACAATATCATGAAATACCTCTTCAGATGAGAAGTTACAATTGTTGACAAATACTGCACATTAATAAACATTGAAAATGCCTTACACCTACATTACAGTGTGTTATAAACCAGTTATTAAATATTCATATAGTGCTTATAAATACGAAACAGTGAGGTTAAAGAAAAGTGTTGTAGGTTTTAGCTATTTATGAGTCAGATTGTTTTGGACTCAGTTTTCAGTTATTTGAAATAGTGATGAGATCGTGGATTTCCAGGGCAACGTGCAGTAGATGGTGGACGGTTCATAAACTTACTCTGATATATGCATGGTGAAAAATAATGTTCTAAAAAACCTGACTTTGACTTTAGTCTCACTAAGTGAGAAAGTGCATACATGTACTGAATGGCTGGTAGCCGACCTGATGAGGGATTAAAATAATTAAGGCTCAGTCCCTGCTGTCTGGGTATTAAGACTATGTTGCTGCTCCCTAAGGCCCTCCATGTAGCTCCTTACCTCCATTCATATTCTGTGCTGTTTAAAAAAAAATGATTACTGATACTACAAACCACTTTCTGCATCTTTCTTTCATCAGACCATATAGAGGAAGAATTTCAGTTTGAGAAGTGCAATCTTTTTCAGCCCATCAGACTGAGTTGTTTTGGTTTGGACCACTACTGATCTGTATCACATATGCAGACATGCTGTGTAGATCTATGGAGGCCTATGTAGCTACTGCTCTTGTAAACACAGGAGGATGAGGGACTAACAGTTCAGGACTGTACACAGTCATCATCTGAGTCTGGGGAAGATTCTGATGAAGAGGATCATGCTGATAAAGGTGAAGGAGACCAGGATGAGCATCAGCCACAGAAGCCAGTTCACAGACTTCTTGGTGTGCTGCTCCAATCGCTCCGACTCCGTCTTCAGCTTCTCAAAGTTCAGGTCTGCCTGGCGCATGGAGTGGCTCAGAGTCTGGGAAATGCCAAGATAAATATTTAGCAGTCAGACCTACAAGCCGGTTTAGTGGAAGGAATAACAACTCATAGATTTTGCACAAGGTGGATTCACAGGCTGGTTGGGAATATTATTTGTCTTATACTGCCCACTTGTGGACAGCTTCGGCTGACACGTGGCATCAGCAGGGGAAAATGTTTGGGGAACAAAAATATAAAATGACAACTTCCAATAATAAGAATATACCAGAGCCACAAGCCAAAGCACAGATAAATTTAAATACCTGAAACATGAAAACATTCACAAAACTTCAACATTTCTTGGCCTATTAACAGTAATCTGTGACAAAAAGCTGGGCAATAAACTAAAATAAATAAATAACAATATTAGAGCGTAATCGACAAACCTTAACTTTGCTTATTCTGATATGTTCTGAAAACTGCAACACCCATCCATCCTCCAGTCACATGCTTCTGCCTCACCTTGCCTTAATCATTCGCCCCTTTAACACAGCCTGTTTAAGGCGGGAATGTTGCGCCTTTATTCTGCCTCGCCATTCCGTATAAAAAGTACGAACACGGGATGTTCCGCCTTGAAGCCGACAGCGGAGGCAGTCACAGAGCCAGACCGGTGTGTAAAAGAGAGCCGGCATGGAGGGGATTCCTAACGACAATATAGCGCAGTCCATGTTTAAAAGGGGCCTGCGACCTTTTTTTTTTTTTTTTTACACATCACCTCATTATGGTCTTTGCCTTTGACACACACACACGCACGCACGCACGCACGCACGCAAACTGATGTGTATTAAACGAATTCCTCATTGTCCACCTGTTACAACAGCAGTGGCTTCTAATAATATGTTTCTGTGCTGCTTGGATAATTGATCTGTTATTGATCTGATCTGTTAAGCATTAGTTGAATATTGCTTTTAGCCTGTAATTGAATCTATCCTTGTCTCTGTTAAACCAGGGTCTATAAATGAAATGGTACGGGAAACAGACAAGGTGACGCATTACTTTGAAAACGTTTCGTGTGGGTGGTGTAATTCATCATTGACAGGTAAATGCTTTATATTTCAGTAACCCTGTAAATACGATGATTGACGTGTACAGCATTATGAATGCAGGTGTTTATCCAGTTACCTGGTTGTCCTGTCTGATGATGTTCTGTGCTGCCATTGTGTTGTTCTTCAGATTTCGGGCCAGGTTGAGCATGTCCTCCGCCAGCTTCTCCTGCAGGTTGTGGTGATGCTGCAGGACGGCGTCCAGCTCTGCGGCAGACTGACGCTCATCCAGAGGAAGACCTCTGCACACAGTGGGACGGTCTTATTAACATCTTTATTTTTACTGCAGGGATGTAGCTGAGGCTCTTATCCACAGACACAACAATGTGTCCAGTGATAAAATAATTTAATGAGTAATGACACAGTGTCCTGACTGAATCTGTATTTGAAACGTTCATAAATTTAACAGCGTTGCGAATGAACCTGAACATTTTGGAGGAAATCAGAGGATGTTACACACTGATGTATGAAAAAATAGAAATATATTCATCATTAGTTCTTATTGATAAGAAATAATATTTAAAGCTTTACCTTCTGTTTCGCAAGTCTGTCTCCGATGTGCCTATAAAGAGGAAATTGTTAAAGAGATTTAACTCTTAAAAAACACATTTCCGGAATTCTAGTTTGTTAAAAATAGTAGCTGCGATTCCCCAGTAGAGAAACTGAATTCAAGATCACTTTGACCTACAAAATAATTCTTACCTTTGCCTGACAAACCCTGTAATGACACAAAAGAGGAACATTTTTGAGTTAATTGGGCATTCAAATTTCAGAATCACGTTTTTTTTCCCCAGACCGTACAGTGTTTCTAACATGGAGAGCACAGCCTTTGTGGCCAAGTATAAATAGAAATGTCTTGACGGTGACTTTAAAGTTACAAACACTTGTATGCTCATCCTACCGTGCCGAGAAGCTCATCCCTCATCTCTCCTGTACACCGGGCCTTCGTCTGCATGTGGACAGTTTTAGTGGCAGGCATCCTCTCATTGGCTATCGTGGGTGTTCGCCCGGGGGCGAGGAACTGATTGGCTAAAGCTTTTTCTGTTGGTGAAGACTGTGAACGAGAGCAGGAAAGATGTGAGATCAAAAAACTGCCCCAACAAGAGAGAACAAAAAAAAAAGAAAAAAAAAAAAAGATTAAGATTATAGATAAAAATGACAATGAATTACTGCTTAAAGTGCTGCTATAAATATCAAAAATAATAATGACACATCCAGTACAGAAAGCTGTGAAATACTGCCACTGACCAGTTTCTCTGCCTCTAGGAGTCCTTTCAGAAAATCTACTTTTCTTGTGTACTCAGTCAGGACTTCTGGTGTGGGTTTGCTGGATAAAGACACAACGTGTTATTGAATAACAGTATTCTTACATCTTTTTATAAACTCATTACATGGTCATGAACAAAACTGGCGTGAGCGGTGACAGAAGTACTCTTTGTTCACAAAGTAACACGTGAGATCCTCTTGCATCAGAAGCTTTGTGGTTTGCAAGTGTTGAAATCCTTCAGTTGCCTTTGCGTAAGTGACAGTACCCAAGGTGACAGAAAACATTTGACAACAGAGATATACTGTATGTGTGTTCAGGTTAGCAATAACAAATGCATTGAGAAATTAAGAGGTAGTGGTGTTACCTCGGGCTTTTCCTCAGAGCCACCAACATCTCCTCCAGGGCACCAACATACTAAAGCAGACAAAACAGAGACAGTGATTATACTTTTCTTTTTTTCTTTTTTTTAAACGAAAGATATTTTGAATAGTTGATGTACATGTGTTGTGCCTTTGTGCAGCCATCTTAAATTAAAACACGGAAAACCTGAACACACTGTGGATTAAAAAAAATATCCATCCTGTCTAGCCACCTCAAAATAATTTGCCGCCTCATAATTTACAGTGTTACCTTGAAATCACAGCTGGTTGCTGTGATGAATATCAATGGCATACAATTACCTAACATTTAACTAATATTGGTAAACTAGGTAAAACTCACTCCTAATGATAATGAACGATTAATTAAGGTAAATATACAAACTCAGTTGCCAGTTTATCAGGTCCAGGTGTAATATGGGGTGTATTAGACCTGTTTATTGTATTAGACCTACAAGAAATGAACCTTCAGGAAGGTTCATGACAGTCTAGGAAGGTGTATCTAGATCTAGTTGATTAAATGATCAGTTATCGACAGAAAACTATTGTGAACTATTTAATAATTGTTTTAGTCATTTTCACCAAAAGTGAATGCTAAACATTTACTGGTTTCAGTTTCTTAAATGTCAGCATTTGATGCTTTTCTTCATCAGTCATAGAAAAACGAATATCTTTGGGTTTTGGACTGTTGACGAGACTCAGATCAGAAAAGGTATAAAACAATTCAATGGAGAAAATAACTGCCAGATTAAGTGATAATGAAAATAAGGATAGCTAATGATGAGCTAATGATAGCTGGAGTTGGGAGTTACATCAACTTCATGGTGATTTTGGAGGTTGTTATTTGTGGTGCTGTTGAATTAAAGTATTTCCAATTGTTTATCCACCAAATTAACAGATATATCAGTAATACAAGTGGGCAAAAAAATTAGAAACAAACCTCAGCAAAACACAACACAATTTAACCCTGGCTATAGTTTAGCGCGTTATAGTTTTCTCTTTAGTTTAAGCAGTGTGTCACCAGCACCTTTGTGATTTTACTGTGATGGTAAGTTTGTGTTTATATGTGAATATCTGGACATTATTTAGCTCTGACAGTGGTGGTCTGATCTGTGCTGAAGAGCAACACGACCTTTTTCTGTCACTTCATACAGAAAATAAACTGAGCACTCAGCAAGGTTAACACGAAACCTACAATTCAGCTGTGCAATATTTAAAATGTATTTTTTTTTGTGAAACACGAGTCTGCCCGTTTTTCGTTTCTTCATTTTTTTGTCAGTGGCGACGTGGCTAACAACCAGCTGCGACTAACAACAACAACGACAGTCATGCTAACTTTAGCTTATGAAGGTCAGAGGAAAACAGCACCGAGCAGTGACATTTCCTCTGTGTTTGTGTCGCCTCACCTTCTCTAACCTCCACTCCGTCTCCCCTCGTTTCTCAGAGGCGATTGATTCACAGCGAGACAACAACCTGATAAAATTAATTTCCAACCTGGACGCCATGTTTGAAGCTGACACACCGTCGCAGCAGGATGACGACACAGCCCTCCCACTCATGGACGTATGTGCCCACTTTTATTCGTTAATTCAAAAAACGTGAACTCAATAAAACCGTGAACTCGTTTACACGAGTTGCGATCTTTAATAAACTTCACAAATCTATATGTGTGATGTTTAATCCAGCGACACCTATTTCTCTGTTTTTATTTCCTCCTTTTCATGTACATAAATCCTTACAAGTAGCATATTAAGTTTGTTCTATGACCGGATGAACCTCGGAGGAGCAACATTTTATGCCCCTGCTAACATTAACATATAGTGCAGTTTCATTATTTCCCCACAAACCAATCAGATTCCTCTCTTTGTTGGTCAACAGAAAATTAACTGGCAATATATTGTATTCATCATACACTGAAACGATGCAGAAATGGTGGAATCACCTAATCTATGTAAATTTTGTTAATTTCAATTCAGAAGGTCTAATTTGAATGTTCATATGATTTAAGATCTTTGTTCTGAGTCTTTTTACTTGAAATTATGAGCTGAATGAATAAACTGCTCAGAGTTCACTGAACTCATTGTTACATTAAGTTTTTAAAGAAAGAGAATTGGTACATCAACAGACTTTCCAGTATGAAATATTTGAGAGTTAAAACTCTCCAGACTCATATTTTTTCATAGTTTGCAGAAAACAGATATGAGGTCAACATACTGTGTGTCTTTAACAGGCCTACATGTGATGGAAAGTCATGGTTGTTTCTTTTCATAATAATGCAAATCATGATGAAGGTTGAAAATGTTCAGTCCCTCCGCCTGCACATTGATAATTTACCAAAGTTACATGGAGCAGATTCACATGTTGCCTGACTGTGGTGCAAAATGGCTTCAACAGCTGCAGCCTCATGTCAAATGAAGAACTGACTGTTTAAACTGAGGAAAATTTAAAAGGAAAGCAAATCTGTCTGTAATGTTGTCTGTGTAACTAAACAGTTGATTCAACCTAATATCTTAAGTCTATTGAACTTTCTTTCTCAGGTTCAGGTTTTAACTTGAGTTCAGTTAACTCTTCTGAAACGTGCCGTGTAGATGAATTCACCTTACAATAAATAATATTACTGATTGTACACATTTTCATAAAGTTCTTTAAAACCTTGTATTCATTCACCTGCCAAACACAACAAGGCACAATGTATTTTTGTAAAAGCTGAGCAAGTATGCCCAGCTTCAGGGCTGTAACTCCATGTAGACTATAAGATGCTTTTGTCTTGAACAGACTCCTTTCACTGTCCTGTTGAAACAGCACTCTGTACTTACCTTTGAGACGACCTCAGGTTTATCAACAGTCTTTGCTGCAGCTTTAGAAACAGGCACCAAATCCATTCAACCAGTTAAACCAAGTTTTAGGTTCAGAGTTAATATAAAACCGTCATTTTTAAAAAAAATATGAGCTCTGAAGAGGCTAAAACAATAAGATCTTACCTGAAGAGACTGAATGTCAAAGTTTCTGGATGAAGATTTTCAACACATGAGCAAAAACTTTTATCCTGTTTATTTTTTCTAATTCCTCTGTACCTGATGAAGAACCAATTTGGACTTAAAACATACTTAATGTAATTGTAATGTAATGTTAATGTAATAAAGAAAAAAAAATTAAGGCAGAAGATCACAGGGTTGCAAGGTTTTTTTGGACTCAACCCCGAAATAATAGAGATGTGTGTTTTCACACTGATTGTTTCTTTTGATTTAGGATCACTTTTAAAGTCACACTTAAAAAAATAATAAAAAGAAAACACAGTTTGTGTTACGCACAGATAATTACGTGAGACAGAGCAACATATCAAATTCTTCCCAAAGACAGAGAGGGAGCTGACTGAAGATTCACAGATTGCCAGAATTAACATTCTGAAATGTAGGTTACCTGTCTGAAGGTAAAAACTTAAACATATAGTGAATTAATTTCTAATTAATTTGTATATACATCCTTACTTTACATTACTAGTCAAAATATTGGTGTAAATGGTCTAAGTGCATCTGGAGGAGACTAATTTATTTTTTGTCTGATGTGTCATGGTTCATAGTTCACATCAAAAAAAAGTACATAACCTGAATATTCTCCACTTCATAATTGGTGAGTTTATCATCCACTGAGTAAACGGTGTTATGTGTCCAAAATCAACACTGAGATACTTTTCCAACTGCGCCCGATCAAATCACACAGCAGAGGATGTTACAAGCATCACGTTTTGTATTTCATGTTAATACTAATAACCATTACAGTTCACGTCATTCAGTCCCAACCATACACTCTCTGTTACACATTACACATCTTCCTCATAATCCAGACAGACTAGCAGACATCATTCAACAGCAGTCAGAGGGGAACATTAGTATTACATTTCATACAAAGCTGAAATGTGCTTCAGCAGAAGCTGCTCATTATGGGACTGTCCACAGCTGAGTGAAGCCAAGTTCATTTTAGAAAAGGGTAAGGTGAGTTCAAGGACTCTGAGCTTTAAAGACATCATGGCACGGCTGTTGCATAATGGTCGGTGTTGTGTTTGTGTTTTTGTCGTCTCAAAAGGAAGAAAGTGGCGTGTGCTGCTCCCATTTCCCTTTGCTATGTGAAGGCGATGACTTCTATCTGGTGTTTTGCTGTGCGGCAGGTAGAAGGTGAAGGTGGACAGACTGTTGTCCTTTGTGCAACAGTCGCACTGCGCATGTCTAGGTCCTTGTTCCGAACATGTCCGTCTTGTGTCGGTTCAGTACAATGAACACAAAACTCTGAGACAAAGGTCCCCTCTCTTTATCCCAGATAACCCTCCCTGCACTGTTCCACAATAATGACATGACAAATGAGCTTCTTGTTCAGCATAATTGTACATTATCAAGGCACTAGCTAACATTTCAGTGAGCATGTTTTGCTCATTAGGAGAACTAAGAAATGAAAAGTGCGACTGGAACCTCTATTATTTCCTTGAATTAGCAAAAATGTGTTAAAAAAAAAAAAAACAGGGGAAAGAAAAAACAAAATTCCATCATTATGAGGCGACAGAAATTTCAGCCTGTGTTCCTGTACCCACATTATATCAAAATGATAGAAAAGGTGCTTGGCAACATCTTGTCCAGTTTTTTTTAACTGTAACGTTGGACAAGACTTTAAACACATTAGCAGTTCCTTGATTAGTTTCCCTCTAACAACAGCAACCAAACACCCTCCACTGTGTCTAATTTCTGTTCAAACTTTATGAACAGAAGACTGTGGCTACAGTACATCTCATCATGTTCAATAATTTCTCTTCCTCCGTGTTCCCCCTTGATTTTTATCTTCTTCTGGCTTTCTACAATCCCATCATTGTCATCTGTGGCAACTCTGCATGCCATTTATATTCATTTCCTTTTGTCTACTCGGGAGGTTGTTGCTCTTACTCATCCTCACTTCTCCATCTTCTCTGTTCCATCCTGGTCAGACGTCTTCCTCCGTGTAAGGAATGTCTGGGTCAGAAAAACGTCTCTGGCCCTTTGAGGCCTGTGTCTCGTGGTGCTGAGGAGAGCGCGCCACCAAGGAGATGGATGAGGAGGAGGAGGAAGCGGAGGGAGGGCAGGAAGAGAAATGCAACAACAGGTCACACTCGGGGTTGTCGATGTACAGGGACTGGGTGCTGTCTTTACGGCGGCCCGGCTGCTCTCTTCTCCTGACCAAGTATTTAGGAGCTCGATTTCCAGGAGGAACGTGAGTCTGAGTTGAACTCGAGGCTGCAGGCTGGGAGAGAGAGACACCTGCAGGGAGTTTAACTGTGTCTGGGATGACGGGGTTGCGGCGTTTCAGCGGATGCCTGAGGGAGGCGTTGGAGGATTCGGAGGTTGAAGAAGCGCAGCTGGACAGAGAGGAGGTGGAGCTAGCAGGGGTGAGGTTTGACAGAGAGAAGCGTCCACAGAGGACTTTAGGTCGCTGGGCCAGGTCGGGTGGTTTGGGTGGACAAATGGGCTTGTACCTCCTCAGCTGGGAGCCACCTCGTCCTGGAAGAGAGGGAGAAAAAAAAAAGAAGAGTGGGAGAAATAAACATGTTTTCCTTAACAATTTACACAGTAATCCTGAGGGTGAAGACCAACGGAAGATCATGCAACCATGTTATCTACCAAAAACTATGTACAGTGAAGTACAATTAAGCAAACATTTGATGTGATATGGTGTGCCAAATGTTCAGTTAATTCATTTGGATAAGGTTTGAGCATGCTTCTGTGCCACACATGCATTTACATGCATACATGGGTGTGCAGACGTATGCTAACAAACACACACACAAACACACAAACACGGTTGCTGTTCCTCCAACCTGCTTTGTTACAGAGCAGACGTCACCGCCCCAATCACCATCACTGGTCCAAACCTGCACCACAAAACACAGGAAGGGCCCAACCCAGCGGCCCCCGTGGTCTGGTCAGAAACCCACAGGTGAGTGAGAGAAACAGGTAGAAAGAGAGAACGTCCAGACTGTACCTTAATACTGACCTTCAGGCTCTGAGCTGTGGGCAGAGGAGCGCTGCTGTTCGTCCAAAAGACTCTCGGAGCTCAGTGAGGCTTCGGAGTCCAAGTTCTCCTGGTCTGAACCAGGTTGCTCCATCTCTGGCAGTCGACAGGCCAGATCCTCTCTGCAAAGGAACAGATGATAAGGACGTCAGAGAAGCGAGAGACTGGAGAGAGAGACGCTGCCGCCTCTGGATACAGACACAATAATGAAGAGGGTTTCTTTACTTCTCCTGTTTGATGGACTTGATGCGTTCCACCAGGTTCTTCTCAGCCTCTGTGTCTGAGTCCAGAGGCTCATTCTCAGGGACCACGCTGAGATCAGAACTGACCTTCTCATGCACCTGCAGACGACAGAGCAGCACACACTGATACCCAACTCAACCTGAAAGTTATATTTATATAACAAGCAACAACAAACATGAAATAGCTATAACATAAAAATGGCTTTGACCCAAATCTGAAACTGATTCCAAAATTTGTTAGTGAGAAGAGTGAGAAGAGCAAGGTGGACGGTGCCTCTGGTTTTCATGCATCTACAAACTGAGAAAAATAAATGCAGTGACAAAAAATAAGCTAATAAAAACATTTGCCCTTTCAAAACAGTAGTGGTGTGAGGAGGTTTTACAAAGGCAAACTGTTCATAACTATGGTAACGGGTTAGAAGACACATCACCACAATCCAGACAGGTTGAACCACTCAACAGCCGGCAAATACCATGACTCTCAGAGCTTTGTGATGTTCTCTCGATAAAAAAAAAAAAAAAAAAAAAATGGAATAGGATATGACGACATTGGAACAGCACAAAGACAAATACGCATCATTACCATCAAGCTTTGCAAGTTAGGTCATTGTCTTCCAAAGACAGCAATCACAACACCAACCCAGAACCATCTTGTCCCCTCAGAGAGAGAACAAGAATGATGGCAAACAGCAAATCCTCCACATCACAAGCAGGACCTAAACCAGACTAACAGCAACATGCAATCTACTACCAGTTAGTAAGGAAGAGTAAAAAGTATTAGGGAAAGATGGATGAAGAAAAACAAAAACAAAAGAAAAACAAAAATACAGCCAGAGCATCAAAAGTCACCCACATCTAACATGCCATGCACAGGTGCTTCTACATGGCACACTACGATACACTACAACTACCAGATCTACTGTACCAGGAAAACTCAATGATACATACCACCACTCCTTTGTAAGGAGCTGAGAACCTGAGAGGTAAATGCCAGTAGTGCTAAGGAGAGACAAGGAACATTGGCTATGTTACCCATGTAACTGCAGAACGAAAGCTTCTGATACTGGGCTTGTTCTACGCTGTAAATGGTGTTAAAAAACGACACTAACTAGTACAGTGTATTTCATAATAATCCATAAGTGAATTTTTAAATGTATGTAATTCCTTCCTTTACATCCAGGCTTGAGGCTAATCAGCAATCTAACGATTGCCATGGTTTTGAGAGCACACTGAATCGAACAAATGTGATCCAGAGCCAGGCAGGGTTTTCTTCCTCACCGTGTTTTGTCTCTTGAGTTTGAGCTGGTTAACAGCCAGAGCCTCAGCGTACTCCAGCTGCTCAATCTCCTCCATCTTCTCATTGTAGCGTCTGATCTGCTCATTGATGAGCATCTCTAAACACCTATAGGGGGAGAAGAGAACACGATGGCAAACAATATGAGTATGTATGGTCATTTACAGCTGTTCACTGGTTATGCAAAGGGTGTGCATGTAATATGGACAAGGCACAACACAAGAAAATTATTATTATATAAAATTATTAAGTATAAAAGCAGATTTTGTTATTTTTGCTTTCATGGCAGTCTTACGTGGTGGTCTTGGCAACATCCTTCATGCTGAGCAGCGGGTCAGCGCTGTCTGGACAGCGCAAGATACACGGGGCAAAAACTATGGCCAACGAGTTAGAAGACATGCGGTTGTGAGCCTCCTCCTTACACACCCTGCAAGGAATTTGATTAGATATTAGCTTTTTTTTTTTAGCTGCATGTAAATATAATTCATATTGTGACTCAACTGCTGTGGTAAATTCAATACATTAGTAGTTGGAGAAAGTCAAGAAAAAAAAAACAACCACCAAAGAAAAATAACATGTAATCTAGTGAGTGCGATATTTGGATGCCATATATTTTGAGAACAATGATGAATATACGTAAAAACCATATTAAAATATACAAGGCCACAATGAGAGAATCCCTACCTGACGAGGTGGAAGACGAGTCTCTCCAGCGTGTTGAAGTTTGCTGTAGGAAGCTCCTCCAGCACTTTGTAGATGGCATGAAGCTGCTCCTGCTTCTCTGGCAGTTCTGGAGGAAGGAGAAAACACATAATGAATCACACTCCATAAATAATTATTGACATAAGAGTCCTTTGTATTTTGAAAATGTCTTCTTGTCATTTCTAATCATGTGTGATTATCCTTTTCCACCTTAAATGTCAAAATTTAGCCTCACGTCATAAATAACAACAACCAGCAGCAGATCAAGGAAAGGCTGAAAACAAAAGTCCAGCACACGGATTGTAAAATGCTGCCCCCTGGTGGGGATTAGCCTCCTTACCCACTGCATGTAGGAAGTCACTGTAATGTGTGAAGGTCATGAGTGGGTCTGGTAGCTCCCTCAACCACTGTTTGACCAGGCCTGTCACTGTGTGGATGGGGTAGTCTTCGAGGCAGACCTGGTGGGGGTCTAAGCACATCAACAATGACACATCACTAGAAAAATCAAGTTTTTACCTGCATGTTATGTTAGTTAAATAAAAATGGAGATAACGTAGTTGCCCAGTTAATCATTAATTAACTGTAAACATCATATAGAAGCAGTCTAACCAGTCTCCAGTCGCTGGTGCAGCTCTTTCATTCTGTTGGCAGAGCCAGACTTGCGGTAGATGCCCTCGGTGTAGAGGCCGTTCATCTCCACGTGCTCCAGCATCATCTCCAGCACCATGGGTACTGGGTTCTTATCGCTGACCAGGTGACACACACGCACCCCGAAGTGCAGCCCGCCGGACTCTTCGTCACTCTGTGAATTCAGACAGGCACCAGCAGTCAGCAAGAAGTCTACTTATCTAGTCAACTCACTGGCATCCATCTACGACGTCCTTGCAAAACACACATTGTTGAAATATTATTCTTAATAACGAAGATAAAGGAAGCTTTTACTGAAGTATTGTTCAGCAGGTTGTATCATTCTATGTTAGGATTCATATTATGTTGAGTCTTTTGAGTATAATGCAGTAAAATATAGAGAGCCAAGGTCCTGCCCCCATCTGAGTTACCTTCTGCTATTCTGGGTTTCTTTGCTGATTATAAAAAGTTTAAACATGATGTTTGTTTAAATTTTGTGTTTAAATTTTACTATTGTACTATTGTACTGCAATAGGTAGTTATTTATCTAACAATACAAACAGAAAAGTTCCATGGTTCAGACTTTATGAGAAATATGGCAGAGTCTTGTTTTTTCCAGAAATAAAAACCTACCTTTTTGGCACAGAAAGTGGAGCAGTCAGTCACTATTTTGCAGATGCACTTCTTGTGGCACACCATCTTACAATCTGCAAGACAAGATTTTAAAAAATGTAGAAGTCGTAAGCTATGGTGCCCATGTTGTTGCCTAATTGCACCCAGTTGGTGCATTGCTATCCTGAGGCAGTGGAAAGAGATTGCGAGACTTACCATTAAAAACCTGTTCTGAAGTCAATGGCGCAATATTTCATTATTCTGCCTCTAATTCAGTGTGAAACACTGCACCATTATAGTAACAATCCGCCAAGGTGCAAGCACGCCTGACTTTGAGAGGGAATGGGAGATGGCACTCTGATTGTTTTATTGCATGTTATGTCCAAAACACTCACGATTAATTAAGAGACTAAGTACAACCCATGTGCCTGGCACAGCAACCTTTTTTTCTGTTGTTAAAATAGCAAAAGTGATATGGACACACCCTAAATGTACTTGCACCATGCGCTTTAGACTGTTGAAGTAGAGCCCACAGTCTGAAGGATTTGAACACAAATGAGAAACAAGAAAAAGAGTTTTGTTGGGGTGTTAACTCACAGCTGCACATGTAGGCCTTCTCCATGCCCCAGATGTAAGAACTGCACTGGTCACATGACTGCATAATGTTGACTTGATAGTTGACGAAAACATGATCCAGGGGGCTCTCCATCTAATGAGAGACAGTCAATCAATAAGAAATCCTAATGTATATTGAATTAAAATGATTTATTGTGGACAAAGGAGAATAATAAACTCTGCACACTTACGCTTTTATCTTTTTTCCTCCTCTTCTTCCGAGCTTTAGCAGGCTGAAAAAACAAACACAGGTGTGAATACTTTACTTTTTCATATTTGGACTAATTAAAACTGAATAATACAAGATCTCAGATCTCAGTGTTTCACCTTTGCAGGTTCAGCTTCCTCCTTTTTCATCTCTCCTCTGATGAAGCCGTCCAGCACCGACTGGAACAAGTTGACCACAAGTTGGACTTCTCCTTTCTGCTTGTCGCCCGCCAGGTGGATCACTTTGTTCTGGTAGCCTGTCATCAGACCTTTGTAGCCTATGGTGGGTTTCTGGTAAAGTTTATGGGGCAGGAGAAAAAATGAGGACGAGGAGAGGATGGTGATGTAGAACTTTGATCAGTATGTATTATGTATGCGTTATGTTCCTGTAGATAGACTTACTGTGAGGGAATACATGGCTTTGATATTCTCTCTGAACTGCATAGTAGCTGTTACAAAGATGGCCTCTGTGGCTGACAGTGACTTCCCCCTGGAGCGGAAATCATTGACCTGCAGAGAAACACAAAAAAACATGATTTTTGTGGGTAAGTTAAAATGACTATGTACAAAAGGTAAACTGCCTGTCCTCTTTAATTTACCTGGTTGCCCAGAAACTCATCGAGGTGCCGCAGCTCATTGGCGTTGGTGATTTCCCGGTCCAGTGAGGCGTTCCACTGCTCTGAGACCCGTGTGGCACGACTGATCTTTATGGAGGGGTTGCGGCCAAAACCTTTACCAGCTCGGTCACCATGTGGCTGGGAAAGAGGTCGAGATGGATGTCCAGATGTTGGGGCTGAAAAGTAGAATATTTATATAGTAAAAATTGACTACATGAGGAAAAAATAGATGAAAGTATGATTTACGGACTACTTCTCTACCTCCTTTCTCAAACTGAACTCAGACTTGTAATGGAGAATGTGCACTATACATGAGTACCATAGATGAAACAAAACCCAAAGTAAAGTTATTTTGTTATCACTAAGCATGATCCTGCACGGGTCAGTATTTTCTCAGAAAGCAAACAGCAGGATTAGTTAAGGCCCGGGAATAAAAAATGATAATACACCTGTGTTTTCTTTCCATGTCTCGCTTCATGAGGTGTGATAGCAGGAAACTGCAGCAGTCTAGCAGTTCTAGTGCAGTCAGTGCTGATCAAGTTATGGTAAAGCTTACAGTAGAATTAATCTCCTTTCTATGAGCTTTGGGCACATGGAACCCAAAAAACCCAACCAAATTAAAAGGAATACATTTCATCTCACTGCTCCAGAAAATCCTATAATTTTTCTTAGAACTTGACAAGGACAGACTGAACCTGTCTGCAACCCATTTGTATTATTATTATTATTATTATTATTTACCTTCCCCTCCTGTTGGCTTTTCATTGAGGATCTGAGCAAATGTCAGCTCCCCGTTGTCTGGAGTCTGGGCCTCTTTGTGGGGTCGTTTTTTCAAAATCTTGCTGAAGAAACCACCTGACCTGCAGGGCACAGAAACACAAGAAGCTCTAAAGAATATTCAAAAACCTTGTTAAGCAAAACTGCTGTGTAACTCTAAGAGGACTGATGTTTACGCTGGATACAGGAAGGATTCACTGTGGTCATTTATTTCTAACGGCAGAGCACAGTTTATTTTGTGTTACTGACTGCTTTGTGTTCTTAATCATATGCCTGTATTGACTCCTTGGATTGTTTCTTGGCAACAGACAAAACAGATAATTTAAGCAAATAAGTAAGATGCCCAGTATTTAAAAATACCATCACAACTGAATTATCTTGCAAGTCTGCATTTAAAGTTCACCATACTCAAGCTCTGCTCAAGCAATGTCACCATAGCAACAATACAAATTGAAAACAAAACAATCTGCCCTATGTCTCCCTCCGATTTAACTTTGGCCCAGTGACTGAGCCTTAAGCGTACATTTCTGGCAAATGAATCCATTCAGAGTAAATTCAGTTAGCAGGAATTTCCGGCAGTGAATGTGCAAAGCCACACAATGAGCCCAGGATAGATTTTGGTTTTCCCATGAATCTGATTCAAGCAGACATTGATATTGCTTAAGAGAAGAGTGCGGATGATTCAGCGTTTTCCTAATACTCTCTCTTATTACAGAATCTTTTTTTTTTTTTACTGATACTACGGACACAGTCGCCAACTGGACAGATTATGCTGTGCTTTACCCATCCCAGTCCATCTCCTTTTCAAACAAATGTATGGCCCAAAACGCTTTCTGTCACATTTAATACCAACCCTGCTCGTCCAATCACAAGCCTGTGTCTAAAGTGTAAGCCAGTCCAGTGCATTGCAATGCAGTACCTGTCTGGTGTGGATGAGATGGAGTGGGCTGAATCTTGGTAACCAGAACCATCTGGATGTTTCCTTCTGATGGAGCTCCCCTTTGAGCCATCACCATGGCCTTCTAAGGGGGAAATTATCTGCAGGACAGAAAACATAACAATTAAAGCTGATTTTTTTTCCAATTTTAAATGTCAAAAACGTATATCTTTACTTTTAAAACAACACATTTTGAATTAAAATAGATGAACATATAAAATACCTCTCTGACTGATACAATGCCAGCTCCTTCAGAACCTGGAGACATACTGTCAAGTGATGACGAGGCTGTTTCACTCCTGCAGATGGACGGACAGAAATACAGATGAGACACAAATCAATTTATGAAAAGGTTCTGACAACTGAAGGGGCGTCTTACACAAGCAAACAAAATGTTGGAAATGTTTGTTAGAAGATCTACTGTGACTTTTACAGGAGTAAAAAATGTTCAAAGTCAACATTTATTAGAGAAAAAAAGTTCATTCAGTTTATAGGATAAGGCTGGTGATAGTCTATATTTTTGTTATTGACAACGAATCCCATGAAAAGACCAGAGCAAACAGTGTCCATCTTTCTGACTTCTGCAAATAATCAAATACACAAACTGTACTTTTTCAAAAGAGTTACATCATTTCCTAACACAGCTGGGCACTGTCATTTATTTACAGGTGTAAACAGTGTCTTTGTTGGGAGCCATTTCCAGCTGCAGATTTGGTGCACTAGCAAGCTTTTATGACAGCAGGATACTGTGTATGTGTTCCTAATACTTTTTGAACAACAATGGAGGTAGAGAAGTGTTATCAAGCTTTGGCTAAACATACAGTTGTTAAGAGAATCAATTCATTGATGGTTTTAAATTTGTTCAAAGAATGAAAAATATAGAATATAACCAGACTAGATGTGAGAATATGGCCATAACAGAAGACGTACAGTGGTTGTTTTTTCCTCCTTTCCTCACGATTGTGAGTTGGAGGAGAGCTGATGGTCTCAGAGTATTCTCCATCACTCCTCCTCCCCTTCCACTTCTCTGGCTTCTCCTTGATTGCCCCAGGGCGGCGATGCAGGGTTACTGCCGCTGCCCCACCCTCCCCTACGCCGTTTCTCTCAGGCCCAGGGTCAGCGGGCTGCAGGGACAGTGTAGACGGACGAACAGGACCGGAAGCTGAAGGAGAAGTTTTTGCCTCCTTCTTCCCTCCCTTTTCTTCCTTCATTTTCCAGGCTACAAAGGTGTACTGGTCCAGCTCCTTGCTGTCTGATCTCTCTTTCAGCTTAGAGGTCTCTTGGCTTTTGCTCTTCGGCGGAGATGTTTGGTCCTTGCCGACTGCTGAGGAGAAGGAGGAGGAGGCTGCTCGATCGGTCTCTCTCTGGTTGTGCTCCAGCCCTCTTCGTCTCCTCTGCTCTCTCTTCTCCTGGCTCCTGGATGACTGGCCCCTGTTGGCAGCCGGAGGTCGTACTCTTTTTTGTTCAGCATTGGAAGGTGTGGAGGTAGTGCAGGGAGCCTGGTCATCTGACGCCTGACCTGGAGATGTGGGTTCCAGTGCGTTGGAGGTGACACCATCAGAGGGCAGACCAGGTTTTGAATCTGACTGTCCTAGTGTTTGGATCTCTGAATTTTCCTCCTCCTCCTCCTCTTCCTCCTCCTCCTCCTCCTCCTCCTCTTTCTCATCCAGCTGGGGTCCAGCCTCAGCCAGAGTACCGTTGGTCTCCAAATTTAATTCCTCATCCTCCTCCTCCTCCAGCTCTTCATCCTCCTCTGTATGTGAGCTTGTTTTAACCTCTCCATCTTCCTCTCCTCTCTCCTCCCGTGTCTCCTGGACAGCATCATCCAGCGTCTCCTCTGTGACCAGCTCTATATCTGGATCTTCTCTTGTTTGAGGCTCTCTCGCCTGTCTTTTCTCCTCTTCTTCTCTCTTTTTCTGTGCTTCCTTAGCTGCCTCCTCTTCTTCTGCTCTCTTCTTTGCTTCCTCCTCTTTTATTCTGCTTGCTTCTTCTTCCATCCTCCTCCTTGCTTCCTCCTCTTCCTCTGCTTTTCTCCTCACCTCTTCCTCCTCTTCCCTCCTCCTTCTTTCCTCTTCTTCTTCCCTCTGTTTCACCTCACGCATGGACTGACACCTGTAAAATACAAAACATAAATATAACAGCCGACCATGTCTTTTACAAATGTTATTAGAGCATTGCATGTCCATCAAAGGTCCAGCAAACTTGTTCTAGACCATACTTTTAGTATTATGTTATTGTACAAAACTTATTATGGAGACACAGGCAGTCTGTGTTGTTACCTCCTGCGTGCTGAGTGGCCTCTGACCAGGGCTTGTATTTTGGTAGCGCCCTGCCTTTGGCGGTGGAACTCCAATCTCTGTCTGTGCCCTCTCCACACAGCCTGGATCAAAGTGGCTGCACGTCGCATTTGCTCCTCTTTGCAGTACCTACGCCATAAACGCTAAGAGAGAGGAGGGAGAATATCACAACTGTACTTAAATTCTCTGTTTATCATTAAAAATGAACAAAACAATCAAAATAAAATGAATTATACTGACATGACAGCCCCCCAAAAAATTTAATGTTGCATCATCTACCTGGATCAAGCTGGCTGCCTGTCTCATGTCCAGAAACTCTTTCCTCTGCAGACGAGCTCTGAACCACCGCTGAAGGAAGATGATCTTACGCATGACATCCTTGTGCAGCGTGTCCTGCAGCTGCTGTCGCTCCAGCTCCTTCAAGAACACCTGAACACAGAGAAACGCAGAATTTAGTGTAATCACATTCAAAATTGTAGAGAAACAGATGCAGACAAGAATCGGGGTTTATAAGATGAAGTGAAAGTATGAACAGTGTACCTTGGTTTTGCCTATCTGAAATGTCGTGGGGTCCAGGCCCATCTTCTTCCCAAGCAGCACTGAGATGTCCTCTTTACAGGCAGTGGCGTTCTTTGGCAGCAAAACTCCAAACTGCTCGATAAACTCCTGCAGGGAAAAGAAAACAATGGCAACACATAAAAGAAATGAATGGACTGTTCAAGAGAGGACATATGTGGCAGTGATGAATGATCAAGACCTAATGAGCAGTGTTAAACAGTATGTATTTTACAAACAATGTTGTCAACCATTTTTATGGTTAAGGCACTGAAACAATTCCAACATCTCTGTAAACTGTAAACTAAGGTAGCAGCTCTAAGTGACTAACATCAACGTCGTGTGTTTGTAATATTGTTGCAGGCCACTGTATCAACTTCTATTCACCATCAAAATACTGTATCTTCATTGCCCCGTGTGACATTATAAATGGTGTGATTATCACATGGATTTTCCAAAAAAGAGGAGTAACTTTGCAGTACCTGGAATGTGTACTTGGCTCCGTAGCCTGACCTCCTGATACGAACAGTTTCCAGCATTCCTGTGTATCGCAGCTGCTGAACCACCAAGGCCTCATCCAGGTACATCTCCTTCTGCTCATATGTAAGCATATTTGGTTATACTCTTATCATTCAGATACCCAAATTTACCATTTAAACAATGTTCATCTTTAACATTGAGAATTCTCCATTACTAAATTCTGTGATAGTTTTCATACTTTAGATTTTATATTGAGTTTAAAATCATGTGAAATAAAACCCTTGCTTCATTTTGGAACAGATCAAATATCTGTTTAAGAGAGGTATATGAAATTACACTGCATCAATGTAGATTTCCTCTTGTAAAGCTGGAAGAAAACTTCAGGATTTAAACAGAAGATACTAAGGAACAAACAACATGACAAAGTCTTACCTTCTCGGCATTGGAGCGGATACAGCGAATGAAGAAAGGCTCTGCTTTGTTCAGAGTCTCCAAGAGCTTGGTCAAAGAAGTCTGAAGGAAACAAAGAGTGGGGTTTGCTGAATGGTCAGGACTGCTGTCATACGGTGTGTTTTTATGTAAAATGCCCAGTGTCTGTGTATAATGAGCACAATGCTGGGTTGTGTGATTTTACCTGGAACTGGGCACTGATGCTGGGGGGCTTCTTCTTCTTGTGCAGGTGGAGCAGAGACTTGGTGGTGCGATCGTGTAGCGTCAGACCCACAATGAACTTCAGAGACCGAGAGTCCAGCAAACTCTGCACAGCAGTAATACAGCAAATTAATCTTCTACTTGCAGTCATATATTACGATTCTAACAAAATGATTGCAAACTAATAAAATCAACTGGGTTGTTTTATCTGACTTTTCTTTTTATCTGTAACTAATCTTGGCATCTTTGGTCTTTAACTCAGGTTTACCTTGGGGATGAGCTGCCTCTGTTTGGTGTTCTTGTTTTTCCTGTGGCGAAAAGAAGACATGGGGTGAGTTAGAAGGAGTGAAGTGTTAAAAGCTGAGGCAGGAGGATGGAATGGAGCAGTGGATGGAGTGTGAGAAGCCGGGTTAGTACGGACGGGTGACTTCTTCATGCGCTGTCAGTCAGTGATGAATCAAGGGTTGCACCTGGAAGACTGAATGAATTACAGGCAGAGAGGCAAGGCATGACTGAGTGACAAGAAGAGAGTGATGGAGAAGAGGAGGAGGGAGTTTGCTGCAGGAGATGGCAAGTAAAATCTAATCTGAGCGGAGACTCAACATACAGACAGACATGCTCTCTTGCTTTCATCAACACATCAAAAGGGCCCAAAAACGTATGCTCATGTTCACTATGTTGCTGTGTGTCAGACTGCAGAACTTGTGCTAAATTGTAACATGCTGCGAGGCCGCTGGGACATATTTTCACAAGACGCTCCAAAAGTCCTCACATGCCGGTACAGGCTTCTGACGATGTTCATGCAGCAGTTAACGAAGTAAGTATTTAAGGCGTTTCGGTTGTAGCTCTCAAGAAAACTAGATACTATTTACAAAGGGAGCCACTCATGTAACGTCTGCTGATGAAGCAGGAGTGTGTTTATTGTCAAGATCACGAGATGTTAATGATCCATTTAGAGAAGTGGCTATAAATGTGACAACTATTAACTACCCGTGGCATGTTGTGTTAAACTGGTTTAAGATAACCTTAACATAAAATGCATCTAGGATTGTCGACATCGTTTTTTTGTGAAAATATATAATTTAATAGGAGCATGTTCTGCCTGAGCCGACAACACTGGATTGATCTGGAGAAGAGCTGAGGCCAGGTCTGTCTGCAGACTCACTGGAGGACGTGTCGGGGGAAGCGGAGGCGACCCCAGGACTGCAGCAGCTTGCGAGGGTCCTCACCATCCAGCTGCAAGTTCTTAATGGAGCTGATGATCTCTGCATGCATGTCTCTGATCACACCACAAACAAACACCCAGTATAGAGAGGGAAGGAGTGGGGGAGGAGGGAGGGGAAAATTAGGAGAACGATTGGAAAAACCCACAAAAGGAGGAAGGAAAGGGAGGAAAAAAACAAAAACAAACCCGTAAAGCGGGGAGTGATAGAACACCACTGTTAGGACACCTTAGAGGAAAACACACCACCACAGTTACCCAAGACAAGAATGCACATCTGCAGGATAGTTGGGGGTCTGATATCAAGAGAAACTTCAGCTTTCACCCTCTACTCATCTGTAAAGACTAACCCACTTAATGTATTCTCCCGCTGTTCATGTTTATGTACGTGGAAACCACAAGACACACTCGACCACCCAACCATGCTGCCATATCCTTTTTTTAAAAACAGAAAAAAGACACACGCACACACAAAGAGACACTGGGGCATGTGGGGGTTGTATTCACACCCATATCCCTGCCACTGTGGTAGTTAACATGCAGAGCTGAGTTCACGTTCAGTGTGGTTGGCCATCTGTGTCCATGCTGAGGCTGTTACTGGTTGTGTGACTGTAAGTTGTTACAGGTGAGGTTTTGGGATTCATGGTCCTTAAATTGGGGCTGGTGTTACACTGGACACCGAGTCCGATGAGGTTAATATGGAGACTCTTCCATCTCTCAGAGCTTGTCCATGCAATGCTTTTCTATACTTACCATGAATAACCATGAAAACAGAGGAGGCAAGGCAGTGAAGGAATGGGCAACATATCCAGTAAATGAGTCACAGTGAATCTGACCTCTACACCTCAGTTATTGCACATCTGAAAGGGACTGGATCATTCAATAATGTGCTTAGAGGGTCAACAATCAGGTTAGGTTTTCGTTTTTTTAAAAAAAACACAACCCAGTAATTTCAGATCTGAAAGCAGAAAGCAGAAAGTCGAGGTTCAGAGGGCCCAACAATCTAAAAATATTCTCCATGGTTTTGTTCCCCTCTGAGAAAGCTCTACCAATTCTCTTTGTCTATTTGACTAGAGGTCCTTATACGTGTATGAATACATGTGTGCTTCCAGCCATCCACAGTTGATGTAAGTAATCCAGGCGGCTAATCAGAGTAGGCCAGCACAAACACCTTCCTGTGCTCTATACCAAGAATAATAAATGTGAGAAAGGAAAGAGATTATCAGAGCTACAGAGAAGATGAGGAATACAGTGAAGGAGGAGAGGGAATGCAAAGTAAAGGGCAGCTTTGCTGTACTGTGTTATACTGGTGTACTGAACTTCCTCTTACGAAACAGATTCAGTTATATTAAATGGCTAAATAAAGATTCTGATTTTTTATCAAAGATGTATCTTTTACAAAAAACAAAGCACATTTCCTTCCTGCTTTGCCTCATGTCTTCATTCTTTTCTCCTGTCCACCAAATTCACTTACTTCTTACTCTCATAGCTAGCAAAGATGTCTTCAAAGGCCTCTAGAGGGCGCTCTTCTGAGTGATCAAAGTAGAAATCGAGCATAGAAGCTCGTCTGTGGAGGGGAGAGGAGAGAACCGCACACACTGGGGTCACCAAAGGGTGGAGAGGATATATACTGAGATGAGGTGAAGGAGGGTTCGTCTGTCAGGTGTGATGCCAAAAGATGTGTTTTTGTGGCTTCAGTTCAAATGAGATATAATAATTCAGCTGAACAGTTTACAGTAGGTGTCTGACATTGTCCTTCCTCATCTCATCCAGTACCACAAGATAAATGAGGAGGTCCACAGTTCACCAACCATTTTAAACATTTCCTTCACCATTAACAAGGCCATCAAACTGGAAACATGTCGCTGTGCAGTTTTTGAGTGGAAGCAAAGAGGCAGCCACATGAAGGCTGGATATTTAGTTGATCCTATTTAAAATAATCAGTCTGTGTTTTGTGAAAGTGAAGAGCAACAGAGTTATCAAACACAAATTCAACAGGAACAACAGTCTGCTCCACGTCCACAGGTGCTATGGCAGAGAAGGTTCTTCCAGAGGAAGGAGACCTAACATTTAGAAAACCAGCCAAACACAACAAAGATCAAGTGAGACAAGTTTCATATTCAGTTATGTACATTACTTACTTGTACATCCTTTCTATTGGGGCATTGGACCGTTGAAGCTCTCCTAAAGGAGTTCTGGAGATTGGACGGACAACACCTAAAACATGAACACACGATACACATTATTAACAAGTGAAACAGTGTATTAATAATAAGCAGGATTTTCTGGCAGCATGAATATTGATCAGAATCACATGACTGCTTCAGTTTTTGTTGTTTTTGTTTTTTGTCTTAATTTAATCTTGTTAATCCACATAAAGAGGCTCCTACGTCAATGGGCTACGTCTGGAAGCACAAAAATAGTCTGGAGGATTGAGAATTGTAGAGAAAATGTCAAAATCTCCTCAAGCCTCACGTTTCTGTGCTGACCTGAGAGGCTAATTACAGAGCAGATAAACTGCAGCAGTCAAAAGCTGTGGTATACGATGCACTAGTGGTCTGAAGATGCAGCTATGATTTGGTAGTTTTAGGATTATATTATCCAGAATGGGCTGTCAGCCGTAGGACTGATAACGTACCTGAAGTTTTGGCCGCCCAGGAACGGCCAGCCTCATTGAAAGCAGCAATTCCTCTGATGGTGGCACGCAGGATGCCCCACCGAAACATGGCCACCGGGTCCATGCCGATGAGCTGCCGCACAAATGCACGGTCACTGCTCCGCAACAATGCCACGATGTCAGGACGCATGTGGTCCGTGTTCTTCTCCCGGAAATCCTGGTGAGGTCAAACATATCAAGAACATTACAAAAGCCACCATCAACACACAAACAAATAGTCTAAGTTATATTTAAGTGTCATTTTAAACCGCCAAACTTTTGTTTTGTAATTTGTTTGCATTTAATGGAATCTGCTCTTGTCAAGTTACCTGTGGCTTCTTGCTTACCTTGATTTGATATTTGACTTTTCCAGCAAAGTGGCGAATGACGAAGGCAGGCTCCATGACTGGAGTGGGGACAAAGTATTTGTTGCCCTGGTGCTGCTGCTTGAATTTGGCTAACAATGTCTCATCTGTGGCATGGGGAAAGCTGGAGCACAGGTGCATAGAGAAGGAGAGAGGAAACAAGGAAAAGAAAATACAGTAAATGGGCCGCTGCAACTGAATCAAAACAAACTTAATTCCCACCCGTATCCATAAGGTGTGAATGAAACGGAGTGAATCATCTGTATCTGTGTCTTACTTGCTCTCCTCATCCAGCAGGTAAAGCAGGCCAGTGGGCTTCTTGCTGATGAGATGGATACAGCCCACGTTGTCTGTGTAGTCGATGTTGTGCCAGGTGATTCCCTCTGCTTGGTACTCCTCCTGCACGAGGCAGAACAGATCATTTTAGCGAGCCAGCTCATTGGTGAAGTCATGCTAGGAAGTTTGACAATTTCACTGATGTTCTTTTACAATGAATTAATTGGCCAATCAAAAAAACATTAAAAAAATCACAGGGAAGCAAATCTTCCGGCGGTGTCTCGTTCAGAAATTCACATTGGTTTTAGGACGAGGGAAAAAAACTAAACCGCTCACCTGTTCCAGATTGAAGATGTGATGGTTGAAGTAATATTGCAGCTGCTCGTTTGCATAGTTGATGCAGAACTGCTCAAAGCTGTTTGTCTCAAAGTCCTCAAAGCCGAAAATGTCCAGGACACCGATGGACAAGCACTGGAAAACAGAAACATGAACACCAGTGAGGAGCAGGAAGGGAATGCATGACAATCATCAACCTGAAGGAAATAATATTTGTAGCATTTTATAATGTTCAGATAAAGCAGTTTTGCATGTATTTTGCGTGGCTGCGTGACAGCGCTTGTGTCTCACCGGGACAGATTCCTCCATGTCTTTCTTGTTCAGCAGCGCGTGATTGATGCGTAGGACGATCCAGTCAAACAAGGCGCTGTACAGAGATTTGGCCATGGAGTCTCTGGCTGTGATAGCCTGATGAGAAAGAGGGGATGATGCATATTGTGATGAAAACTTCAATGAACATAACCGAAAACAAGCATAGGAACAGATTAAAAGTGTGCGTTGGAATGAGATAATATTACAACACACAAAAAATTGCAGACAGATGGAGGCAAGTGTATACAAGTGATGACTTAAAAATAAAGAGGTTACTAAAATGCTTAACATTACACACTGACTGGAAGAAGAGATCTACAGCATGTGTGGTATCAATGTAGAGAAAGATGCTGAAAGGCATAAGGAAGAAGCAGACATACAAGGCCACAATTATATTGCCATTATAGTAATGACAAGTTGTGGCGATGTCTTCATGGCTGGTGCCTACCTCTGAGTGACTGTAAGGGAGGATCAGCTTGTCATTGACTGTCACCGTTTTCCTCTTTGTCAGCGCCTCGACCAGCAACTCCTCTTTAACCTGAGAGGAACACCCACAGTCACAGGCAACTCAAAGACACAGTGAAGTATTGAGTCACAAGGTCACGCACAAATATGTTACCTTTAGCAGGTCAGAGAGTGTAGCCAGGACCTCTGGTGGTCCCACATCCAACCCTTCGTCTCGGCCCGTTGACTTCCTCCTGTAGGTCACGTTGCCCAGATACAGGATGGCCGAGAGGACAGAAAAGATCCTGCAACACAGTCATAAAAATTTCATAAAGTGACAACAATACAGTCATATGACACATGCAGTAACTATTCTACACATTGCTGCTCTTCAGTCCTGTCATGTGTTAATATTCACACTGAATTGAAGCATTGTATCTGCACACTCTCTTTCATTTACTGCTACATTAGCCTGTTAGATGCAGCTACTGTTGTATTGTTGGAGCTCTAGAAAGTCTCTTATATTTTTGGTAATGTGATTCAATACTCAGACCAAAATAAGTGTTTCCAGGACTGAGTGGAAAAATGGTTTGGCATTAGGTTTCAGCACAATTCCATCACCACGTCTGGAAGAACATTAGGCCCTTTTCTACATTACACACACACTACACTGTACATGATCACTGATTGGCTTACTGTTTCTTGGTGGCAGGAAGGAAGCCAACCATCTCCATCGCCTGTTGCAGCCTTTCAAAGTCATGACGCAGGTCTTCCTCATCTTCAATCTTAAAGTTTTGCTACAAGGAAATGCGCACAGTTAGTAGGCGTCTATGAAGATGAGAGAATGAAAGCAAAAGCACAAAATGGAAAAAAAACAAAACAAAAAAAAACAGGTGAAGAACAGAGGTGAATAAAAAGGAGGGTGGGGGTAGAGGGGAATATAAACAAGTGAGAGAACAAAGACAGCTTGATTAACATGCAGTTCACATGTGTGCAGTAAAAGAGGAGTGCCGACAGCAGCTTTATCAGAAGCTTGAGGGGGTTTATGAATACCATATCCACTCACAGTTCATTACAACAGGCTAAAGTTCATTAACAGTGTCTCTAGTCTCTTGTTTTTGTTTAAGGTTTACATCAAATGGATGTAAACTGCTGGATGTCTGGATGTGATGGCACAGCAGGGCAGCACTGTACCTGCTTGAGGTAGAAGTAGTCTTCAGGTGGCAGCAACTTAAACTCCTTCCTCTCCTCCTCTGAGGCTCCCAACAGCAGGTAGTAAAACACATGGTAGTTCCTGAAAAAACAACACGCAGCATGTTAAATCCAGCGGCGAACGCTTCAGTGGATTAATCAATTCGTATGTGCACCCATCATTTCTTTGGTTTATAATCTGGTGAGTAGTTATCAGTGGATATGAGCTTCACGTTTATGGTCACAAATAAGGCGTCGTTTTGGTGATAAACCGAGAGTCAACACATTGTAAAAAGCTATTAGAAAGAAGACCGAGCTGGAGTGATGTTGATATCAGTTTTCCACTTGTGCTATTGGTAAGCAGGTAGGTAGACAGGCGTCGGCACACGATAGCAATGAGTTTACACACTTATTACTAAGAAACAATGACATCATACAGTAGACTCACTCCCAGACTAGACAAGCAAGGTGCTCTGTCAACAGCAACTGTAGGCTAGGTTATTAACAGTGAACTGGTAGTCGCCTGAAGGTTTTGGAGGCAGGTTTGTCAATGGAAGGCGACTACACGTTCCAAAACTAGCTGGGAAGATCTGAACAGGAAACTACTGAATGTTCTCAAAACAGCAATAGTATGTTTTTTATACAAAGCATCAACTGAGTCAGCTGAGCTGCTCAACAGTAGATTGTGGTTTAATAGACCAATTCTCATGAGTGCTTGTGTGTATCTGTATGTGTGTGAATCTAAACTGGAAAGATAAAACATGACTTGTGAAATCAGAAAAACCACAAACACCTCCTGGATAAGGCTACATTTAATAGAGAAACTATTTTGTTGTTTTGTTTTGTTGCAACAGATTAAACCAGTGGTAATCAAAATCTGTCAGTTTCTTCTATTGACTCATTCATCAGTAAATCTATATCACACAGCAAATTAAAACACTGTGGAGGATTTTCTCACTTCCCTAACACCCTGACTGGCTGACTCAATTACCAAAGCATCCACGCAAAAAATTTGTTTGCATCTTAGTCATACAAGTTGCAACTGACTGAGTCTAGGCGGCAGTGAATGTCACTGTGAGTAACAAAGGCATGGGTGATGTGACGGAAGAGGGAGTGACGACATGATGATTTTTTTTTTTTTCTTATAATATCTCAGTCTACAGTATCTGAATATGTCAGCAACTGGGTGTGCAAGTGTTTAGATGAACATGTAAAGTCAAAGACTTAAAGTGTGAAGTTGAACTTCATATCCAACTATCACAGGCCCCAGGGGGAAACTCCCCATGTTTGTACAGAGGGCTCCATGAAGGTCAGTGGGGGTGAGAGGTCAAGACCCTGCCTGTCCCTACTCACCTCTCGTTCTTTTCTCTGGAGACCAGACGAGACTTCTCCAGGAGGTACTTCTCCACCACAGCCCTAAAAAAAAAAAAAGCAGAGAGGAAGATAGGGAGGGGGAGTAAATAGGAAAAGGAAAAAGAGGAACAAGAAAAACAATGACCATGAATCACTTAACACTAAGGTCACTCAGCTCTGTCCGTGTGTGTGTGTGTGTGTGTGTGTGTGTGTGTGTGTGTGTGTGTGTGTGTGTGTGTGCGTGTATTTTCAGGTCATATGGGAAAGTGAGTTTGTAATAAAAAATGAGGGGAGGAGCAGGATGGCAAGTAAGGGCAGATGTTGAGAACAATCAAAGAGTGAACAAAGCTGCAGATATGGTTGGATGGATTGCATAGCACATCACACACGCCGCATAGCAACTCACACACACAACAAGAACTAGACAACCCTGGTATTAATTCATTTTATTCTATTGTATAGTAAAGATGGACAGAGGAGACTGGAAGGCTACTGCAGGGAGAGAGGTATGCTTTCAGACCACTGCAGTCATGAGATATGCTGCTTTAAAAGCAGTGGTATTTACCCACTACACTAGGCCAGGGCCATAAACTTGTCTAGATCAGATTTTATAAGTCAGAGTTGTTTTTTCTATAGCCAGGCAAAAACAACACTGACGCCAGTTTTCATGATACACTAAGAATAGAGCTGTGCTGTGAGAAACATCATGCTGCCCATCTGCTAACACTGATGCCTCAACTATAGACATACTATCTACTCTACAGGTACACTGGCTTCCCCTTCTGTTTTTTCTCAGAACACTCTGCAAAAAAACCCCTGACATTTTATGAATATTATGAAAAATTTCGGGATTTCCTTTAATTGCTCAAGATCACAGAAACACTCACGAATACGATTTACAACATACAAAGAGTAAGGATGATTTTTTTAACCAGGCAAGTTAAAGATATATATATTTAAAGATGTATTTGATGTTTTTGAAAGGAGGCCGCCCTTCTGGCGTCCTGAGTAATTGACAGTAATTAGGCTGAATACCTTAACACACTGATGCCAGTGTGATACCAGTTAGAGGCATCCTGTACAGGCGTCAATTGTACCAAAGGCTTTTGAAACATCTATGAATAGCCAGAGAATTATCAGCCATGTGAGCGGTTACTGTTTGATGCTGCATCTTCTTGAAAAATTTTGTTCCCCAAACTAGACATCTGAACCACCGTTTCCTGCAAATGCTTTTTTATTTTGTTTTGTGAACTTGTTTTATTTTTACATCATATGATATATAAATGTTATATTTGCAAATGCTTTTCTCAGGGTGATCTGAGCAACAACACTGGATGATGGATGAATTTGAAAGGGGGCCACCAAAGGGAATAATATGTGAATGTGATAGTAAAAGTTAGGTTGGCGTCTTGTCTGTTCATATGAACTGATCTGAGAACAGAACGCATCTACCAGATTGTTGCCAGGAGCTGACTGGCATACGGGCTATACAGTATATCAGTCAGCATATTTCAAAAGGGTAAGTCTCATACATACAGTGCATGTTAGATCTCAGGCATCTGTCACTCACACACAACCTCTTTTTTACACGTCCACTAAAGTGGGTGTTGCTTTTCATGGTCCTGCTCCATCTTGCTCAGATCCCAGTGAGGAAGGATTAGTCGCACACAGAGTAAGCAACAGTGTGTGTGTGTGTGTGCGCGTGTGTGTGTGCGAGAGAGAGAGAGAGAGAGAGCGAGAGCATAAAAACATCCCGTCTGTCAGTTAGTGGGTCCGCTCGGAAAGCAGAGCAGAGCGGAACAGCAGCCTTCCCTTTGTTAATCTCCTCTATTGACTGTCTGAATGGCTGCCACTGGAGATGGAGAGATAGACAGGCAGCCTTTGTTAAGTCTACAGAGCAGGGCTGTGATGGTCCTCTGAATGCTTTACTGATGTGAAGCAGGAGGTTACACTAGCACGTAAGGTGATGGTAAATTATTTGAGATGTTCGTTTTTAGTATTCCCTTGTCTGAGTTCACTTTGTAGCAAAGAAAAGCCCCAACCACCTAAAATCAACTCTCATGATTGGATTACAAACCGTTCTCAGGGTAGGAAATTCAATAGAGCATGATGAGACCTGGTGGCATTAGGAGATAATCAGTTTGGGGATCCGCACTTAATGTGGAGGTTAGCAGCTGTAACTACAGACATTTACATGTTTCAAATCAAATTTTATTTCTAGTATGGCACTTTTGCATATACACAAAAGTGCAAAAAAAATCTCATCCTGTTAGTCTTTAGTCTGAATAGTGTGGTGAATGTTCTCTGTAGCCCTTCAGCCTTTGACTCAGACTCAGTTTTAGCATAAAGTGTTGTCTTTTTTTTTTTAAAGACACAGTATTGAACAGCTGTTCCCCTCTCCTAATGAGGAAATGAGGAAGTGACACAGCTGACCAAACTTTGATGCAGCCCCGAACCAGAGTCTGACTGCAGAGAAAAAAGGAAGGACACGCTAGTGGTTGAAAGTTTCAGCCCACACACACACTGCACAGAGGGGGAAGCACATGACCAGTCATAAAAAGAGCTAAGAGGAAGATATTAGTCTGTAGAAAGGTAGAAGACCCTGATGATGAGCAACAGGAGGAGGATACAGAACACAAAAATGATCATTTAAATGTCCCTGTATGTCGAGCAGATTAAGGCGGCTTCGACTTGACATTGTATGAGGCCTTGTTGAGAGAGGTTGGTCGCAAAGACACACATACACAAACATACAACTGGTGTTAATTACTCACCCTCTGACCACTCCACTTTCCAAATAATTAACCTGGATGAATTTTCCAAAACGGCTGGAGTTGTTGTTGTGGGCCGTCTTGGCGTTGCCAAAGGCCTGGCAAAGACAACAGACACAAGTTAGATTTAAAGGGGTAAAGTCATAAAAACATACAGTGCATTTCTAAAATCAACCAACAACTTCTCCAGATTAATGCAATAATCACCACAGCTTTGTTTCCTCTCAATGTATCTTGATCTATTTGTTAAATCAGTCAGTCAGCTAATTGATTAAGATGCAAAAGCCGATGTAAGATTGAGACAAAACACAGAGAAGAAGACAGATGCAGAGCTGTTTACAATTTCAGAGCATCGTATCAGGCTTGTTTTTAAGCCTTGTTCACTGTTGACATTTCAATACCAAACTGTGAACAGTGCTGAGTTTCAAACCTTATATGGAAGAACTATTGAGTGCAAAATTGGAATGCACCTTCAAGTCAGCACGTTTATTGAAGTCAACAACAACTAATCACCATGGCAACAAAGAAACTGGATAGTCCAGGGGTTAAATCTTGTTTTTAAACAGCAGCTGAGACCACGGAAGGGGGTGGGACTGTGTGTGTGTGTATGTGCATGCTTGTGTGTTTGTATATGTTGGGGGTCTTGGGAGGGGGCGAGCATCTGCAACTCGTTGTCCCCTCTTGCCCTCCTCTCACTCTCTTCCCATTCATCTCTTTCTTTTCTTTCCCCCTTTTCTTTCCTCCTTTCCCCCTCACTCTCTTGTGTGCGTGTACGAGTGAGTAAAAGAGAGAAAGAGCATAGGTCAGTGATGATAAATGAGGTTGGGGCAGCCATTCTGTATAGCAGTGTCAGACCAGAAACAGAAACAGAGAAGATCAGGGTTTCTCTGCAGGCCCCAGGCTAATGCTAACCCAGGCAGGGGCACACAGAGCCCAGCCACCAGGCCTCGATGAGGGGCCCTGTTTATTACACTGATACGGTAACAGAATAGCTCTCTTTTTTTCCTTCATGATGCACATGCTCACATGGTTACAGATAGACAGATACACACACACAGACACTCAACAAAAGGCCACCGCAGGGGAAGTTGACTCAGTGCATGTTAAATAGGAGCTACATTGTGTCTCCCAGAGCAGTTGCAGGGTGAATTTGATACAGTGGTGTTGAGGATGATTAGTGGTGGTTAGGGTACAAACAGATACACACACATACACACACCTACAGGGTCTGACTGAGATTCCTTAGGATGAACTGTTTACCTACTTTAATGTCCTCTGCTCCAAAAGACCCTTGGATTAGTTCTTTAGCTCTTCTTGTATTACTAAAACTTTTCTTTGCTTTTTACCCATTTGCAACAATATAATTTGGCACTAACCTTTATTTTTTTTAAGTGCACTAAAATCTTGAAACCAAAATGTGATTTTAAAATAGTTTTGAGACTTGGGGGAAGTATGAGGCAAGAGTTGTTGCTTGATGAAAGAGCTCAGTTTTTTTCTTATCGATACAGAATTTCCATCTTCAGTTAACCTGGACTTGCTCAGACAAGGCTCCTACCCACACACTCTTTTTTCTGCTTGTGTGTGTATACCACATATTATTTGAAGTGCATGATCAGTTACATGTTTAGCATGTCAACATATAATGTGTAAAATTGTGCAATTGTTTCAAATGTTGCTTGTGTTTAAAGAGTACAAAGCCATCACTTATGTTGTAGATTTGAAGGTCAGTTGAGTGTGTTTTTAGCGCTGATACTCCAAAGTGCCACTGCTCAATGCTGCCCGCTGTGCCCAGTACTGTTCTGATCACCCCCACTCGACAAACATTGCAGCCAAGCACAAAACCCTGGGAAATCTCTGCAAAGCCTAGGCTGCTGCACCATGGAGGGAATGCTAAACATGTCACAGCATCATTCGTATTCAAACATGCCCATTACCAAGTGATCTAATTGGCTGGAGAGCTCAGCAGGTATGAGGAAGCGGAGCAACAGCTTGCCAAACTGTGTCAATGGAAAAATGTGATCTAATCTGCATTCTTACGAAATACAGGATATCTTAAGCAGTTTATGGAAGAAAAAGAAGGAAGGGAGAGTGAGAAGGAGAGAGAGAAAGAGAGATGGAGAGATGGAGAGAGAGAAAGTAAGGGCAAGAAACAGATAGCACAGCAGTTCAGCAACCAGCAGTGTGTACATGTGTGCATTGACTATCTGATGATGTCCGATGCTGTCTTAACAGATTCCTTTTTCCTCTGGTAGCCCACTCCCCTGTACATTTCCACTTCAGAGCCAGACCTACTAGAATGAAGTCTCACATCCCCATACCCACACACACACTTCTCCTTTCAAACCAATCTAGGGGAGTGTCTCTAGAACAGTGCAGTTTATGAGCCGTTTGTCTCAACAAGCAAGTGGGGCAGAGATGAGAAAGTATAAATTATATACTTTAAAAAGACATTATATGTTAGGCCTAGCATAAACATGAACAAACATGAACAAACAAAAATATGTGTGGAAGGAAATGGTCTGATGGTGCATACAAGATTAGATGTTCACAGAAAGAACAAATTCAATTTGTCGTGCTGTTGTTGACTACTAGGAAAGCAACCTTCTACAGCCAATGAGTTGTCATACTTCCCCTGAGCTTTGTGTAGTTCCCCCTGTGGTCACCTCTGTGATGATCTGAGAGTATTACAGGTTTTAGATTTTTTTTTCTGGCATAATTTCAACATGCCTATTGATGTCAAAACTGAGAGAAAGGAGAAAAACCTTTTTGTACTCAGTAAAAAACTACAGTTTGTGCTTGGGTACTAGGCCTTATTGGTATAAGATCGAAGCATTGCATCCTTTAAAGTCTAGCTGCTCAAAAGAGCTTCAGTTAAATGTTTCCACAGGCGCTGCCAAGGGCCTGACACTGACACCTCACTACAGCATGGATACGCTCACAAAAGGACTCTAAATAGTCCAACCGCCACAAAAACAGTTCCCACATTCACAGAGCACAACGGTAGGCGCTCATGCAAAAACTGACCAAACCTCTAGGTGGACATGCTCACTCATTCAGCGGCAGACACTTTACACCCACAACTATATCAGACATATTCTTTAAACCCAACTTAAATTGATATACTCTTCAATTACAGGTTAAACTGGGGAACCAAGCAGCAGGGCAATGAGCTATATAATCACTGGTAGCTGTAATGTTGAGGCAAAACATCAATGGTACTTGGTGACAAAATAATCACTGTTTGTTGTTGTCCTAAATGTGAAAAATGCTTTTGTGAAATCACATGATGTTGGCAGTGATTGATTGCAACCACGTCTCTACACAGTTCCTCCTCTATGTTTGGCCTTGCCTCAAGCCGCCACCATATCCCACCAACTACACTTAAACCCTTCGAGCTTAACTCAACTGAAATGTTAACAAAGAATTGATTCTTTGAGGTACAATAATGGCGTCAATAGCGCTCAGAGGGGCTGGTGCTTCAATTCAATAATGGTGAATGTCCCAGTGAATGCGGTTATACTGAACCACTTCATGAATTTACTGCATGAAGGTCAGAGGCAAATATTTCTAAATTCTTTATTTATTGTCTTCAACAGAATGACACGGCAGTCCTGTTTCAGGGGAAATGACTTGCAGTCCACTGAAAGACTGTTCAAGTGTTGGATGACATTTTCACACGGCAGATGATTTACATAAAAGGATTTCAGCGATGAAAGGATTAGGAGATTGATCAATTAGTAGATTACAAGAAAATCAACAGACCACTGAATGCTTAAATCGGCAGTTCTCAAACTTTTTCATGTCAAGGACCCCTAAACTGACACAAATTAGACCACTGACCTCGATTTGATTTTGTCCCAAGACCCCCCCCATAATATTTTTGATTTTAGATGTTTTATTACAGAAAGTGTATGAAACCCATGACAAAAATAGTCATATTTTCTGTTATCGTGTTACGATTGAAAAAAAGTGAAAATAAATTATTCCCCTTTTTGCTGGGGACCCCCAGGAGACCCCTCAAGGACTCCTAGGGCTCCCCGGACCCCACTTTGAGAACCAAAGGCTTAAGTAATATATCACGCAAAAATGCCCAATATATGCTTGTTCTAGCTTCACAAATGTGGGGATTTGCTGCTTTTCTCCATTAAACATCGTGGTAAACAGAATAACTTTGGCAAAGTCATGAATTCCAACACAATAAAGATAGTGTGACAAGTATTAGGCAAGTTATCACAAGACAACTACACAGCAGTAAATAAACTACTGTGGAAACAAACTGGTGTTGGATGACAGTATAGTGAAAATAAAGTGGTGGTAGTGCTGGTTGGGAGAAAAAACTAACTGCTTCAGTATGCAAGAGTTGATTGTAACAGATGATCGCTATTGTAAGCAAAGGCTGGAAAGCAGATCAGACGCTTCCATGCACTCACATTCATATATAAGCTTCATCACAGTTACACAAAGCAACATATAACAAAGGGCATATCAGCTGTACCTAAATTTCATTTTCATACTAAACTGCACAATTGTCTATATTTTAGAGACATCTAAAAATCTAAAAAAAAAAAAAAAAACCCAACAAAGACTCAATGCAGTGAAAAACAGGAACAGTTATCACAAGCTGAACAAATCAATAGCGTTATGGAGCTATTTTTGTATTGGACAGAGCTGAGTCTGAGAATACAGACATTACCATTAAGACATTTCAACATCATGCATATACATCATGAGCGGTGTCACAATTAATAACCAACTTCTGCAGCTCGCAATGGCAATGGACTATAGAAGACAAATTATAACTCTTCTGCAGCATCAACATTTTGGGCAACTGACAAAATCCCCCCATACCCTAAAGTAGGTGATTTGATACAAAAACTCTCGCAGAGAGGCCTGCTGGATTCATACCCTTTACTTTGTTTAAATCTGCCTTTTGGACTCAATAAGAAACCACTTCACCAAGTTTCTGATCTGTTAAGTTGTATTTATCTTAACAAAGTGTGATCTTTGCTGTTTTAAAAAGAAAAATGGTTCGTGTTTGTATTTATTATATTTTTAATATACAAACACTTGTTGCTATCAAAGCACATTAAATGGTTGA